TATCTTGGGGAAATGAATAGTTTGTTTTGACTGATAGGAAATAGTGGGAAAAGCCCAACAAAATAAATTGAGAGTAGATTGAGAAATAAATTGAGTATATATTCCCTGTTTCTGAACATTTAGAAATAAATATAAGACCTAAGTATTCCTGTATACATACATTGAGGTTTGTTTTCACTTACTAAGTTTTTACTAAACCAGATACTCTTATCAGATACCAGGAATTCTAAACCTCAAAAGATTCACCGGGCCCCAGACATGTAAATATCATTGGTGATTCATAATCAGCTCCACAAGGTCAACTACGGAAGGTCATAGAAAACTCTGACCTGACTGTTCTGACCATTCCACTGGCCCCCACATAGTGACTTGGGATATTTACAGTCTGTCTCTAAAAATGTCCACTGTTTCTATAATCTATCACTGTGTACCAAAGCACTCCAAGAGTTAGTAGCAATATCAGTTTATTATTGCGCAAGATTCTCTGCGTACTTCTGATTGACAGTGGTGTCAGCTGGGGAGCTAAGAAGGGTAGACGGTCCAAAATGATTTCAATTATGTTGTTCGGAAGTGGTACTGATTGCTGACAGGGAACACACGTGGTGCCACAAGCCAGGAGCCTCAAGCCTCTCCTTGGGGCTGTTTTAACTTCCTCACAGAGTAGGAGTGAGGATCTAAGGAGTGTTCCAAGTGGCAAAGGTGGAAACTATAACATGTTTTAAGTACCAGCCTCAGAAGTTACACAGCATATCTATTCTATTCTCTTTTTCAAAAAAGATCACAGGATCATGCTAAATTTAAGGAAAGGGGAAATACACTCCAGAGCTTGATAAGGGAGCCACAAGATTATATTGCAAAGATATGTGGGATAGCAGATACTGTTGCGATCATCTTTGCAAAGACAGTCTACCACTATCTTTTCTCTATAACAATTCATATTCCTCTCACATGGAAAGTATTCTCACCCTACTATACCCAGATTTATCCCATTTTAACACCAGGTTCAGACTCAGGGTCAAAGATTTTTTTTTTTTTTTTAAAGATTTTATTTATTTATTTGACAGAGAGAGAGATAGCGAGAGCAGGAACACAGCAGGGGGAGTGGAAGAGGGAGAAGCAGGCTTCCCGCAGAGCAGGGAGCCCGATGCGGGGCTCGATCCCAGGACCCTGGGACCATGACCTGAGCCGAAGGCAGACGCTTAACGACTGAGCCACCCAGGCGCCCCTCAGGGTCAAAGATTTTTTTCATCTTGGTTTCAGAAACCTCTGAACTATCTACCCCAATCCTATTCCCAACAGTGAGAAGATGGAGCTAGGATCACCATAATACACATTCTAATTCATAAAGTAGGAATATGTTATACTTAGCAGTCACTGTTTATGGAAATTCTGATACCCAGCCAGACACATGTTGCTTATCCTTCCTGCTTCAGCATTGGGCAATGTACATTGATTAGGACCCAGTTCTGCTCCCTCTGAGTGATTCCCCTTGGTTTTTGGCTCCACCTTCTAAATTCTAGGCTTTTCCCACTGAATCATCCTTTCTTTTCCACAGAAATAGCCCACACTTGTAGTTGAGAAGTTTTGTCATTCTGCTCTTGACCAAAGAATGTTGGGGCCCAGATGCCTTGATTAATTTTTAACTATCTCAGTCCCTTTTAGTCTAAATAAGCAGAGCTTCCTTCTGGTATTTCTCTTAGAAACTTTGTAGGTTTCCTATGACTCTTACTAGAGTGAGCATCCTTGGATGGCAGCCACACACACTTTGGGGGGTTAACATCTGCAAACCAAAGCTATATTTACTCTTAAAGATAGGGCCCTTCCAACCTTGGGGTGAGGGTTGGTTGTGGAACACTGTCCCTAAAATTTTTGCAAGCTCTTTTTTCCACCTGAAGCATCTATTAAGCACACCCTTAAAATTTTTAGAAGCTTTTCTTTTTAATCTAACTGAGAGTGTAAGAGACATGGGCTTTAATTTTTATGAGGTCTTAATAATCTTACAGACACATCCTTGACTTAGCTTTGACCTGAGACCACATTATACTAGCATCACCCTGGGTTTGATTTTTTTCCCAGAATCATTTCTTACTTTGCCAACTTTTTGCCATCTGGAGAGGCTTGGAATGAGAAACAGTTTTATTTTCTAACCTTGGAACTTTTGGATTAGAAAATTTCCTCTAAATTTTGCTTGAAATCCAAATTGTTTCTTTGGGTCTTCTTTCTCTTTCATCATTCCATTATCAGCAGTTAAAAGAAGACAACTGACACTTTCAACATTATTCCTGGAAATTACTTTGGCAAATCCACAAGTTCATTAATTACGTTTTCTATCATTCATGTTACAGTAGGTGACAGGGCTGCCAAATCTTCCATTACTACCTAAGACTGGTCACCTTTCCTTCAGTCCCCAATATTAATTTCCTCATTGCCTTTTCAGCCTCTACTGAGTCTCCTTACTCCTGTTCATTCCTCCCCACAGTCCAATCTCAAAATCAATACCATATGTTCTAGGTTTTATATTACAGTTGTACCCTATCTCTGTACTTCTCCAAAACTTAGTTACTTAAAACATGAACACTCTGTCAATTGACTATGTGGTTTTTCTGTTTCCTATGGTGTTGATTGGAGTGCCAGGGTGAATGGGAAGTCCAAAATGACACCACTTGCATGGCTGGAAGCTGGTGCTGGCTGCTGATTGATAGCTCATCTAGTGGTGTTAGCTGGGGGTCTTGGTTATCCTCAACATGAGCCCCTCCACGTAGCTGTTTGGGCTTCCTGACATATAGTTACATTTAATTTATTTCTTATGTTAGCCTTGTGATGTAGATATTATCATTTTCAATCATTCAGCAAATAGCATCAATGATTAGCAGCTGTATGCCAGGAGCCATGGTTGGTTTATGAGAATAAAAAGTCAAGCAAGACACATTTCTTGCCCTAGAGGAGTTTATATCTAGTGGAGGAGTTAATCAATGATTATAATGCAAATCATATATGGTGAAACAGAAGTTCAAAAAGGTTAACTATATGGCTTTTCATCTAAAAGCTGACTCAAGATATGAACCTAGATCTGTCTGATTTCAAAACTATGTTTTCTCTGCCGCAGTATTTAGAAAGTTAATAGAAGTGTCCAGACCAATAGTAATGAAGATTCAGAAGTTAGAAATGAAAGCAATGCAATAATAGAATAATAGAATGAAATAAATGCAAAATATTGCCAGGTAGAATAGACAGGACTTGATGACTGTTTACATGAGGTAGATAAGGCCAACAGAAGAATCAAAGGTGAGCCCTATGGGACTGATGCTGGGAAATCAGAAGGAAGGATTGGTAGTTAAAAATGATTCCATTTGTTTTATCTATGTTTAGTTTGAAGGACTGACCAAACATGCAGATGTTATACAGCAAGCAGGATAAAGACAGAGAACCTGTACTCATTTATTCAAACTTTTTTGAGCACCAACTATATGTCAGGTACTGGGTAGGTGAATAAGAAACCGTATCTCTAACTTCAATGATCTAATAGTCAAGGTGCAGAGACAGTCTTCCAGGCAGATGATTGCACTTTGATATGACCAGAGCCACAGTAAAAGTAAATACACCAGTAGGTGCAAAGGAACAAAGAAGAAAGTAAAGATGACACTAGGGGAATTAATTATACATGGATGGCCATTACACCAGGGTATGGATGCAGTTGCTAAGGGGTAAAAAAAAAAAAAGGAAGAAAATGGCCAAGGACACTTATTCAGATGGGGATTCAAAGAAGTAGATAGGAAGAATGCCTGAGAAGTAGGAAGAGAACCATCCACTGAAGCCAAGGGAAGAGAATATTTCACAAAGTCACCCTAATCTTGGAAGAGTCAGAGGCAACTCAGTGGAATGAGATGTGGTCAGGAGCTTTAATATGCAATTGATGTAGGGCAGTCAAAGAGGATTAAGGCCAAGAAGAGAATTCTTTATTGGGATTGAATTCAGTTCTTTCTGTCCGTCTATACGGAAGTCAGATAAGCTATGATAATTCAGTCTTTCAAAGACATTAAAATGACTTCCAGATAAACAAGTCTATTGGTTATATAGCTGTATCATAATGACTCATATCCCAGAAAGGGATAAATGAACTATAAGCTGAATGAGAAAGAAACACTTAGCTGAGATAATTAAGTTAGCTAGGCTTAATTGAGGGTTCAGAAGCTCTAAGATTTGGAATGGAAATGGTAGAGGATAAGCTTATTCTCAAATATGGAAGAATAATTTCAGGTTAAAAGCTGAAAAGGCCTAAGCATTTAGTATCTGAGCTGTCCCATTTCAACTTCTTGCTCTGTCTGAAGAAAATGTCATTGTAAAAGCAGAAACAGCTATTTGGAAAAAAAAACAGGACAACTCTTCATTTTTAAATTTTCTATTCCCTATAAGAAACTTATAACCAAAACATAAAAGTATTTATAACAGGATGTTGAAATGGGGTTTTCCTATCTCAGTTTCAACTAAGACCCCAAAGAATAAGAACAAAAAATAGGTGCCAAATACCCCCATGATCTAAAATGAGAAGCCAGGTCATATACTCATGACTTGCAAAAGAAGTATTCTGGAAATTTGTTTTGGCAGCCTTTAGCATAATGACTGCCTCAAGGATATTTAGAAGGTTGGAGAGGCCAAGAAAGAGGACTATTTTTAGAGGGAGTTTTTTTGGAGTTACTGGAATGCTATGGAATTCACTACTGATTCTGACTCAAACACACATACTTCACCACCATGAGGGACAAGAGAGGTGTTCTGACCCCTTACCTCAAGCCAAGTAAGTGGATATGAAGGAAACTACTCGGAGTTTCACCTTTGTCTCTAAAAGCCTGTGGAATACATAGACTAATACCATATCTATTTCAAGAACAGTCCAAATGTGGGAAATGTTGGAGGCTGCCCTGGTAAAGAGCAGCATGCAACCACATGTTTCCCAGTGATTAATTGCAGGGCTCAAATTGGAACCCAGCATGGATACTCACCCAAGAGGGCTTCCTAGAGGGAAGATAGGGCTCCCAACAGAATAGACTGCTGGATGTCCACGGTCCAAGGAGAAATTATAAGCAGACACCTAGAAAAGAAACATTGCCTTAACCTCAGAAATGTATCTGGAGGTTCCCAGTGGGGAAATCTTTGAGAAACACATGAAAGCTCCTCAAGAGATTATGAGTCAGCTTTGGATGTCTGCCAAGCTCAGAAAGCAACAAAGTGAGATCATGACTGTGTGACATTACTAGTAATGTTAAACCTTTCCTGCCTCCTGCCCCTAATATATCTTCTTCCTCCCACTCTTCCCCTTCCTCACCCCCTCTCAAGCGGCTGCTCTCAAGTTGGATGAGTCAGAGACAACTTATTGTAGTAAGGTGAAATAAAAACTTTAACCTCAAATAAAGCTTTGAGTCTTGATTATTACCGTGGACTGGCCATATTAATTCTGAAATGAGATTGTCATTGCATTTAGAAATAAAAGAGATTTTTTTTTTCTTTTGCTATCTGAGGGCCATAGCACCTGCCTAAGGTTTTACTGAAGGCTTGGGGAAGAAATAGTCTACACAGATGTTTTAATGGGCAGTGTTTTATTTTGCCTTCTTTTCACACTCGAAGGAGCCTCAGTTGTTTGTTGTAATGATTACACCTAGATGGTGTTCTTTGGAGTAGAGTAGAGCATAATGACTAAACGTGCCACTTGTGGAGTAAGACTTAGATTCAAATGTCAGCTGTGTGAACTGGGGCAACTGACCTGGTCATTGCAAGCTTTCTCTCCTGGAGCATGGGCATAATAATTATCCTACATTATAGGATTGATGTGAGGACTAAATGAATTTATGTAGGTAAATCACTTAAGTACTTTGCCTACCATAGTTTATACTCTATAAATAGTAGCTATTGTTATGAATTATTTACCACAGATGCAATTAACTGCTTTTTCCTGTTCTCAAGAGCATATTGGTTGATGTTTGTCTGTACAGACTATTCCTAATTTCCCCGTTAAGCTTAACCTTTTAGATGTAGATTTCTAGCCCCTCTCTGAAGTAAAAGTTTGCAGTCCTTCCAAGCAGCTCAGCAACACTGTAGGACGGGGAATTGAAAGTATAACCAATTAAAAAACTGCAGGCATGGGGCTCCTGGGTGGCTCAGTCGGTTAAGTGGCTGCCTTCGGCTCAGGTCATGATCCCTGGGTCCTGGGATCGAGCCCCATGTCCGGCTCCCTGCTCAGTGGAGAGCCTGCTTCTCCCTCTCTCTCTGCCTGCTGCTCTGCCTGCTTGTGCTTTCTCTCTCTGTGTCAAATAAATAAATAAAATCTTAAAAAAAAAAAAAATTGCAGGCAGAACTTGAGCAAGTGGAAAGTGATTACTTTGGCATCTTCCCAGTTCCCTGCAGAGCAAAAAATCCTCTGTACCCTTGCTAGGAATGGCCTAGGATTTGGGAAGACTTCTGGGCCATCAGAGTGATTTTCCGCCACTTTTTTGAAAATCATTTCACTGAAATTCAAGTTGCATGGGGCGCATGGTATTTTGATATTTTCAAATATTTCAGCATATTTTATAAGGATGGTTGTCAGATTTCTTCCTTATGGGGGGGGGGAAGTGTCAACATAAATTAAGCTAAACATTCTTGAAAATTGAAAGGAACCCATCTTAAAGAACATTAGGTACTCAATCTTAGATGTTTCCTCTTTCCTCCAAAATCTTAAAAGAGCCCATTAAAAACATGCTTGGATAGGTAGGGCTACTCAACCATAACCACAACCACAACAAAGAAAGAAAAAAGAAAAAATGAAAATTGGAGTAGTATAGAAAAAGGGAGTGGTATGGAAACATAACAGCTGTTGTTTCTGTCTAGCTGTATTGGGGCATTATCGTGCTACAGGATTTTATAACTAAAGAAGGCTTAGGGGTTGTCTACAATCCCCTGCTCTCCCCACATCCCATCCTAACTCTTTTAACTGATGCTCCTTAGCTTCTGCAATGACTTGTTTGAGTTCCTGAGTAATTATTTTATTTTAGTTAATGTTTCATTTTAGAGATATAATACATTTACATGGCTCAAAATTTTAAAGGCCCAAGAGGGTATACAGTAAAATGTTTCCATCTTATTCTGGGCAACAATTGGATCTTTCCAAAGGGAACTGATGTTATCATTTTAATATGTATCATTTCAGAGCACAGAATTGGAACCATGAATGTGTGTGTGCACACATGTATCCTCTTCTATTACACAAGTTGCAGTTCATTACATAATAGGTTTTGTACTTTGATTTTTAATCTAAAAATTTATTTTAGATATTCTTCCATATCCATAAAGAGCTTTCTCATGTTTATAGCTGCATAGTTTTCCTTTGTACACATGCACCATAATTTATTTATCTAGTTTCCTATTTATGGACATTTAGATTATTTCCAGTATTTTGGTATCTCAAATAATGCTGTGATGAGTTATTTTACATAAAGGTGCTTCATGTGTGTATGAGAATATCTGTAGACGAAATCCTAAAAGTAAAATTACGGAGTAAATGGATATGTGTGTTTGTAATTTGGAAGTGTTCCTACAAAGGTAATGGACATGTGCATACTCATGTCACATGCTATGGAAGAAAATTAGGCTTATTGGGAAAGCTCACAGGTGGTAGGGCCAGCAGGATGCAAGGGTTCACTGTCCTCCTGACATCCTGAGGAGACACAGGCTGGGCTGGGCACAGCTGGGTGCACCAGGGAAAGTGTTCCATGGAAATGACCCTGTCCTCATTATGCTCTTTGTATTTCTAGGGTGATCTGGCAGAGAATACCTCCTTAATTCTGTAACAAGTGAGGCCTCCTGGCCTGGGAAATGCCCTTGTAGGATCAGAACTAAGTTAGAGTCTTTACATCTCAATGCTGCTGATATTAACCAGAGGTCTGGTGCTAGTCCAATGATCTAACTCCATCCTGGTAAATTAGCTCATTGTGAAGCTACCAGAAGGAAAAACAAAAACAAAAACAAAAAACTACCTCTGGAGGTAGAGAGCTGTGAGGTGTACCCAGAAGTCAGAAAAATGCCCTCCCTTCCTCTAGTCAGAGTTAATTCATTCTCCATAGAGATTATGGTAATTTACACTCACACCAATGAATGATAGTGACTATTTCCTCATATCCCCTTCTTCAGGACATGATCACAGTTTTTGATCTTTGATAATATGCTGGTGAAAAGTGTAGGCTCAGTATAGTTTAAGTTTACATTTCTTTTATTATTATCTAGACTAAGCATCTTTTTATGTTTTAGAATAGCTCATTTTCCTCTTTTGTGATATGCCTGTTCATATCCTTTTCTGTTTTTATTTTGGATTATTGGTCTTTTTCTTATTGGTTTGTAGGAGATTTTTATCTATTATATCCATTAAGGAATTAATGCTTTGTCTGTAACATGGATTGCATTCCCAGTTTATTATCTGATTTTTGATTTTGCTTATGGTGGATTTTATCTCAGAGAAATTCAATTTTTCGTGTAGCTGAATTTATCACTTTTTGTTTGGGGCTTTTGTGCCTTATGTTATATAGAAAGGCCTTCCCTACTCTGAGATTATTTAAAAAACAAAACAAACAAAACTTGTCCTGTGGTTTCTTTTAGAACTTTTATATAATACTTATGTCCCTTCTTTTTAAAAACATTTGAATCTTTAATCCATCTAATTGTCTCTAATTGTTTAAGTTGAGGACATATGGTATACATCTGTATATAATTTTTGTATCTACAGAATTAGGAGGAGTTGTATAAAGGTGTAGCACTAAAGCTTGTTTACCTTTTCTTTTCAAGGACGATTTCTTCATTATACTTTAGTATTCTAACCACTCAGTCAGTGGGTTTGCCTTGTTTTCCTACAACTGTGAACTTTCTAAGGATCTCAAGCTCCCACAGACCTAGAACTCCTAATTAGATAGATGCTGCTAGACTTCTATGAAACCTATATAGACATTTTTCCAGATTTTTTATTGTTTTCTGTTTATCTAAGATTTAGCCATTCTTGTTGCATTTTAATCAGTATTACACGACTTTACCTGAGTTGTTTATAAAACATTTTTAAAAAGATTTATGCCCAAGAGGAATTGTGTGTGTGTGTGTGTGTGTGTGTGTGTGATTTGACAAACTGATTAAAGTTTTTACAAGGAAAAACAAAAGATCAGGGACGGGCAAGACATTTTAGAAGAACAATATGGGGGACTCATCTTTCTAGAGTTCAATAATTTTTATAAAACTAAGTCAGTGTAGTACTGTTACAGAGGTAGACCCACGAATGAAATAGTACAAAACCCAGAATCAAATCCACACATATATAGAAACTTAATTTATGATGGAGCTATTATTGAAGAATAATGAAAATTGGCTTGAAGTGGCAGGAGTTTCAATACAAATTGAGACAACTGATTATACATATAGAAAAAATGAAATTGGATGTGTACTTCCTCTTATAAGCAAAATATAAATTCTCAGTTCATTTAAAGATTGAAAGGTGAATGTCAAAGCTAAAATATACGGTAGATAAAGCTGAGAATAACTTCTTCATGGCTTTAGGGTGGAAAAGAATCTCTTAAACAGAAACAAAAAGTGTGAATCATGAAGGAAGCAATTAATAAATTTAACTATATAAAATTAAGAACTTAAGTCATTTAAAAAGTGGAAATAAGACAATTAGCAAGAGAAATTTTGAAGCATATGATTGGCAAGGGATTAAAATCTAGGCTGTATAAAGAATTCCTACAAATTGAAAAACAAATGAGCCAATAAATAAATAAATAAATAAAACAAATTGAAAAGGCACTTTATAGAAGGAGAAACATGAGTGGCCAACAAACATGAAGAGAAGAAAACTTCACTGGTAATGATGAGAGTGAAGATTCAAACCACAATGGTTTCCACTTGAACCAACTGGCAAAAGTTAAAGTGTCTAACAAATTTTATAAGGATATGAATCAAATGAAACTGTATCTATGTTAGAACCCTATCTATACCATATAAACTTAAATGATATACGGTTCAGAGATAGAAAAAAAAATTTTTTTTTAAGGTAAGAAAACAATAGACATGATGCAGGTGGTGGTTATCTCTCTTGAGTCAGGGGATGGGAGTGATATCAGAGGGAGTTACCAGAGAACTTCAAATATTATAGTAATGTTCTATTTCCTTAACAGGGTGGTGGGTACACTGGCATTTACTGCATTGTTATTTTTTTATACTCTGCATGTATCAGCTTCCTAGGGCTGCCGTACCGTAACAAAGTACCACAAACTGGGTAGCTTAAAATAATAGAAATCTATTATCTCACAGTCCTGGAGCCTAGAAATCTGAAACCAAATGCTGTTGGGTACAAAGAGCACAG